CACCAATCGGCGCGGCGGTGCGGTGGACGGCCGCAGCCGCCGCGGCCGCCGCACAGCCGGACAGTCAGAAGGAGATCAGGTTCCCGGTCACAAAGCAGCCACCACCGTCCGCGCCGGCGCAGGCGCAGGAGCTGTACCGGCGGTTGCACAGCCGTTCGCTGTCGTCGCTGCCGCCCGAACCGTTCATGATAATGCGGTCGAAGGCCCTCAACCGAAGAGTATGCATCAACGTGGGCGGTGTCAAACACGAGATACTGTGGAGGACCCTGGAGCGGTTGCCACACACCCGGTTGGGCCGGTTGAGGGACTGCAACACGCACGAGGCGATCTCCGAGCTGTGCGACGACTATTCGTTGGCCGACAACGAGTACTTCTTCGACAGGCACCCGAAATCCTTCAGCTCGGTAAACATAAGTCAATCATATTATAATCATATTAYATTTTATATATTTAGGTTCGTTGAGAAATTATAAAAATATAATCAACACATATAATGGTACCTAACCTAACGTTTTATTGAATTTGGTCAGTTTACTTCGCATATTACGAAGGATTTCCCACTCACTGCTTGCGATTATATTATTATAGGTAGATAGTGCGCTAAAAAAAATTCCATAAAAACGTACACCTTCCTATGCGGCCATACAAAGTAATTCCCATTTAAAATATAACGATTTGATCAATCTATTCACACACGACATAAGATATTTTAGGTTTGTTAAATCTTATGAGCGTTTAAGTGAAAATCGTCTCAATTAGACCAATTATTGCCATAATTGTAAATACGAATCARTTCGGTGGCTTATTGTTAGGCCTCGAKAGCTGCGAAAAAACATTTCAACTTTCAAGTAAACTCGCCGCTACGTGCTAACGTGGCGGCCAGGGTCGACAGTCCAGATCTTGTATCTAATGATTTTCACTTTTTCACCAAGCTCGAAGAATAATATTTTTCTGCCGATGAAGATGCGAGAGAGAAAAAGTGGTTCAAAGAGGTGGAGATTTTAAATTATTTGGCACTGAGACATAAAAGCTGGTGCCACGAGTACAAAAGTTCACTGGTCTTAATGGTTAATATGTATAAAAATAAAAATATAACTTTTTATAACAATCTCTATATATGTTATATGTGAATAATGAATATAATATGCACTTTTTGATTTTTAGAAAATTGTGTGACTTTACTTTTTGTACGATTCTTATTAAATTAACTTAATAATAGTTTTAGTTTGGAGTCGTATTCTCGTATTGCAATATATAGAACGGCAAATGTAATTTTTAAAACAATTCCCGAAAGACCGTGAACACATAGCGGTTTGGCGTGTAGATTACGTGAGACCAAAACCGATTTGTTCTCGGAGACCAGACCCTCCCACACACATATGGGCACATAACTATGAGACAAATTGACAAACAGCACTGTGTCAACGATTCAGTGAGACAGATACCACAAACGCTAATAATAGGTAGTTGTATACTCTTATTTTGTAAACTCGTTCAAAAGT